AAAAAAAAAAAAACAAAAAAAAAAAAAAAAAAAAAATGTCCCAGCCCGTAAAAGTCAAAGTCTCGCTGCCCATCCTCGCCGCCCACATCGACCACTCCCTCCTCCACCCCACCCTCACCGATGCCCAAATCACAACGGGCCTCCTCCTCTGCAAACAGCACTCGGTGGCAAGCGCCTGCGTGAAGCCGTGCTCGGTGCCGCTCGCCGCCGAGATGCTCGCCGGCTCCCGCGTCAAGATATGCGCCGTGGTGGGATTCCCGCACGGCAGCTCGACGGCGGCCACCAAGATGGCCGAGACGGTCGAGGCGCTCGACGCGGGCGCCACGGAGATCGACATGGTTGTCAACGTCGGCAAGGTGCTCAGTGGCCAGTGGCACTACGTTGAGCACGAGGTGAATGCTATAAACCGCATCGTCACGACGAGGGGCGGCGTGCTCAAGGTGATTTTTGAGAATGACTACCTGCAGGATGAGCACATTCGGAAGCTGTGTGAGATTTGTACCGAGCTCGAGGTCGGCTTCGTCAAGACGAGCACGGGGTACGGGTTCGTGAGGCAGGACAGTGGCATGTACAGCTACGAGGGGGCGACGACGCCGCACTTGAAGCTCATGAGGGCGTCCGCCGGGCCCGGCGTGCAGATCAAGGCGGCCGGGGGCGTGAGGACTCTGGACGACTTGTTGCACGTCATGAGCCTGGGGGTGACGAGGGTGGGAGCGACTGCTACCGAGGCCATAATGGAGGAGGCGAGGAGGAGAGGCATAGGAGACGAGGAAATCGAGGTCGAGGTTAAACGGAGCGATGGCGCCAACGGAGCTTCGTGCTAGCTAGGACTACTTTCCGTTGATTATGCATGCAGACAGAGACAATCCTCAATGTCTGTACCGAGTACTTGCTACCAACCCAAGAAATACACAACGTAACAAGGAGATTGTAGACGTCGTAGCTACTCATAAAACATTCAGTTACCCAAAAAAATACGAGCACCCTCGCTACCCTCTTCCAACACCCTAACAGTCACAAAACCATACTGCAAATTGAAACTCATCATCGCTGCCCAGCCAAAAGAAGAAGAGGAAGAAGAAGAAACCTACTGTACATTATGGACAGACCTGGTGGAGAAACCAAGTGCTGCCAGAGTGAAAAAAGAAAAACCTGGGGAAAAAAAATGATGCCATGGTGAGGATTTCCGCGTCTCAGATTGTCATATATCCCAGCTCGGACAACACATGCAATACTACTACTCAGCGTCTGTGTTTGTTCTCCTTACTCTCTCTCTGAGATCCCTGTTCTCCAATTCCAATCCGCCGAGGCGTTGCCGTGCAGCTGCTCGATCTTGATTCCGGCCTTCTCGCTCCATCTTCAGTTTATACTCCATGTCTCGAAGTCTCAGGAGCCAGCGGTTGTCATTATTAGTTGGTTCGCCTTCACTCGGCAAGGCAACTTCCATGCTGGTGAAATTGCCCGAGGATGGCCGGGGTATGCCAGAAGCAGTGTTGGACCGAGATGACCCCCCTGAGCGGCTGTTCCTGTCTTGACTCAGCTGGGAAGTTCGACTCCTATCACGATCTCCCGGCCCGCGTGGAATGCCCGGTGAAGGTGAGCCTTTACCAGTAGCACCTCTGCTTAAAGGTATTGTGCCGTCAGAGCTAGAGTGGGCAGCACGACTTCGTACATCGTTGGCCGTCCGGAGTGTCGCATTCTCAACCTTGAGTTGGCGGTAGGCATCCTCTAATCGGGCCATCCGGCTGTGCATATCCTGGGGAGCTAGGCTCCCCGACGCCACCGAGTTTCGCAACATGGTCTCGAGACGATCCAGCTTCTTGGTTCTCACTTCAAGGTTGTTCTCAAGAGTCTGGTACTCTCGATGCAAGTCTCGTTCCACGGACTTGATCTTGGAATGTAGCCCTCCAAACATACCCTCAATCGCCTTGATGGCGCCAAGAAGGTTTTTCGAGAAGCCGGGAAGTCGGGTCGCAATCACTTCAACTGATGGGACAACTTGCCGATCGACAAGCGTATTGTTATTAAGCCATTCCCGCCCGCAAAGAGCACTCAACCTGTGCCACAGCGTCAGAAGCAGCTCATTCCGTTCTGTGAGCTGATCGCGAGCAGTCTGCTCAAGCTGGGCAAGTCTTCTGCGATCCTGACCTCTGGTGCTCTCCAACTCCGCAATTCTGACATCCTGGGTACTAGCTGTCTGTGTGAGGTGCTGATGTGTCCTCTGAAATGTATCATATTGCGCCTTTGTATTGCGGTGCGCGACGCGCTCCCTTTCCAACAACTCGGTAACCTTTCGTGACTCAAGAGCATGAGACTCCAAAAGAGCGTCTCGTTGTTTAATGATGCGATCCTTCTCAGCCAACGACGCCTTTGTTGTATCGAGCTCGCGAATCGTGTTCTCGAGTTCGCGTTGCATTTTGGCAATCGACTAGAGTTGAGTCGTCAGTATACCGCAGTCATACAGCAAGAGTGCACAGTACGAACCTTGAGAAGAGAAGATCGGGTGCCGTTGAGGTCACCAAGAGCTTCTCGAAGATTATTCTCGAGCTCTATCAGCCTCTCCTTCCACTCCGTAGCCTCGACCTCACGAGACGACAGACTCTTACGCAGTCGCCTTACTTCGTCCTTGGCATTCGAAGCCTCCCGGTTGAGTTCATTCACAACCTGCTGCACCTCTTCCTTTTCTCTGTCGGCGACGATCTCTCTGTGCATGCGTTCTTGTTGAAGGCGGTCATCCAACTCTCTGGATCTGTCTTTTTCGTCTCGCAGATTCTGCTCCGCGTTGGCAATTGCCGCCTCCAGATCCCCGATACGAATCTTGTCCGCCTCTTGCTCCTCGCGCAAGAAGGCAATCTCACCCTGGCTTGATTCTTGTTGTATAGAGAAGCGCTGGTTCTTCTCGTTTGCCTCTATCAACTTCTGTTCCAAGTCCTCGAGCTCCTTATTTGACGAGTCCAACTCTTCCTCAAGTTGATGAATACGACGCAATTTGCCAGTTTGGTCATCTTCCAGCCGCACCAGAGCCTCGCTCATCTTTCGCATCTCTTCCTGCAAGGCGACGAAATTTTCTGAGCGATCTTTCAAGTCGGCATGGGCGCGCTGAATCTCTTCATTGCGTTGATCGGCCTCGGCCTCGAGCGCATCAATCTCTTCCTGGGCTTCATGGCGCAGAGCTTCAAATTCGTTCTCCATTTCACCCTGTTCGCGAACGGCCTCGTCTCGTTCAGCCTGTAGAGCAATGAGATCATTCATGGCGGTGTCAAGATCTTCTTGCAGGGACATGGCATTATCTTCCGCTTGCCGCTTGCCCTCAACCGCAGCCTCAAAGTCTACCATGCACGACTCAAGTTCTCTCTGCAATTCCTGATTCTGGAGCCTCACTTCGCTGAGCTTGTCTCGTAATTCGGCCAGCTTGTTTTCCAGGCCCTCGCGTTCAGATTCTTCCTCAGCCAAAGTCGGCCTAGTCAGTCCGCTTCCCCGGGACTGTGACCGTTCATGACCACCGGCACGGGACGCCGAGCGCTCAAGTATGCTGTCTATGGTGGATGGAGCAGGACCCCCACGGCGCTGAGCCATTTTGAGATCTTCAATCTCCTGGTAGAGCCTTTCTTTCTCGCGGTTCCTCGAAGTAAGCATTGAAGTCTGCGCGCCAACCTCACGCCTCAACTCGGCATTCTCATGGCGCAGTTGTTCGCTTTCCCGCCGCAGTTCATCAACCAAGACGTTAGCCCCGCCGAGGTTCGCGTCGGGTACATCAGTCTCCCCAGACAGACCAGACGTCGCTCGAGTAGGTGAGAACACGCCATCGCGAGGCTTCTTGGAAATATTGTAAATATTGGTGGTGTGTTGCATGTTCCCTTGCGCAGAAATCTCCTTCTTGAGCCGAAAAATTTCGTCCCGTAGTTTCCGGTTGTCTTCATCTGCTTGTTCTCGACGGACAGTTTCTTGTTCCAGCAAGTCGCTCCAGACCGCAGATTCGTCAGGCACACCGACATTGCTGCCAGATCGCTCACCAAGGGTCTTGACCATTTGAACAAGCTGCAACTTCTCCGATTCCCGACTAAGACTCTCGCTTCGAAGCCTCTCGATCTCGGTAGCATACTCTTCAACTCGTTCGCGCAGATATATAAGCTCCTGTTCTCTCTCATAGGCATCTTCATCGTTGGTTTTGGAGGTTTGATCTGTCGATGAGGCCGTGCTTGGTCTATTGTCTTCATCTCGGGCTTGTTTCTCGAGCTCCTTGATTCGTTTCCGCAGGATTTTATTATCGCGTTGCAACACCGCAAGACTAGTTTTTAGTTCCACATTCTCAGAGATCATTTCCTTGATGCCTTCCTCGGAGAGTCTATCCAGACGGTCGCTCAGAAACATGACCTTTAACTTTAAATCAAAGTTCTCCTTTGACAGCCTCTCAATGGTGCTGCTCTGTTCTTTCAACGTGAGGTTCCTGCCAGTTTTTGTTATGGTGTCAGTGTTGGTACCTGTGGTGAGGTTAGACGGTCGACGAGGCGTTTGGAGGCTGTTCTTAAACCGGTATTCCTTCACCAAAGACTCGGGAACTTGCACATTCTTGACATGCTGAGCTATGACGGTATCTGTGGGTGCAGTAGCCTTCAAATTCTCTCGTGAGGCCTTTGGGGTCCTGAGGGGGTCGTTGTGGTTCGGTCTGTCAGGGCTCGAGACTTCTGGAAGAGTATCCAGGTGCTGGTTAGGCAAATCATTCAAATCGTCGCCACCAAAGCCAGACACCATACTACCAACACTTATCGAACGCTGAAAGGGGTTGCTTGTCGAACGTGGCATCCCCAAGGCCGGAACGGCACCGCCTGATTGCAGAGCATAGTCAACACCGTGGCCAATAGTGGCCTCACTCCCGTCTTGTGATTCTGGATTCGTGATGAGGGAAGATGTGGATGACCGGTGGCTGCCGTACCGACTGCGCAAATACTTTGACCGTTTCCCAATCCTCAGGGAGTTACTGGGTGTGCTTCCCGTACCAAGCTTATCAGATATTTGGGATTGTAAGAATGGGTCTTCTGCACCAGATAGAAACAAATGTTCGTTGTCGTCTCTATACTCATCTTCGTCTGCTGCGGCAGGCGCAGTACGGTCATCCGTTGCAGCGCTACTAGCCATGCTAACAGCTCTCGAAATAGTTCTCGCGGCGGCGGCAGTCGTAGGGGAAGAGTCCAGATTCTCAAGACTGGATGTAGTATTTCCAACATCAACGTCAGTAGTATGGTCGTCGTCTCGTTTCTCCGTATTCTGGCCCTTGTTTCTACCAGATGTATCTATCGTGTCGTCGGCGGCAGTCGCATCCTCGGCTGTTGTCCTCGTAGCGATGGGAGACAGCGTGGGCAAGAAGCTCGACTCTTGGTCCTTGAAATGTTCGCGTACAGCCTCTTCTGTAATAGTGACATCAGGTGCCCTGCTATGGTCTATCGTCGCGGCGTCAACATAGCTGCTCTCCATTGCAGACGGACCAGTGATGGTTCCCGAGGCAGAGGCGCCGCCAGCTGGTGGTAACAGCTTCAGAATGGAATCGTCAGGTTGCGCATGCGCGTCATGCCCAGCACCTTCCGGCGCGGAATTGCTCTCTTTTGAGTCCGACATGGTGTTCAACCGTACGCGTCGTCGGTCGTCGTACAGGGCGGTGATTTATTGGAGACCAGCAGGGCGACAACTCAGCATCAGGCACCTGTACGGCGCATCTTGAAGCTTCAAGCGTGTGCTCTGCAGTGATGCCCAGGTGGACCGCAAGGCGACACTGGAGCTGGAGGACGCACTCAAAGTTTAACGCGCCTTCCCGCGGTGGAGATCAAAAGGAGACAACGCTTTGATATGGCGTGAAACACTTTGCATGTAAGAACAGGCGTGAAAAAAGAAATGAAATAAACAAAACAACTTTGGAATGCCCCTGTCGATGGCGGCGACGCCAAACGCTTGCACCAGGGGCAAGCTGGCTCTAATGTTTTGAATACGCAATATCGTCAATAGAGCTTGTCAACCTCGTCCCGGGTCATCTGCCCATTGGCGTCTTGCCTAGTGGCTGTTGGTTGCTCCTGCCATTGATTGATTCTTTGCTCAACAAGTGGAACTTGCACTCGAGCGCTGTCACTAGCTACTAGCGTGCGCCCGTTGATGGATAGTCGGCCTCAGGCCATGTGGACCATCTCGACTTTGACCAGCCCAGCCTTGGCATTGCATGTCGACCTTGATGCACTCATCGTACAAGACTTCATGAAGATACCAAAAGTTCCATCTTGGTCTCTTCTCGTATCTGATTCTTAGCATCTGCGTGTAGATGCATGTATTAGGTTGTACCATCTAGTTATCTCCCGTCACATCACAATCGTCGCGCTCCACCTTTCACTGTTTCGTGTTTTTCATCATGTCCGCATCGCTGGCACCAGAATGCAACGAAGTAAAAGAGTACGGTAACAGCGCAAAGCATCCTTGGCCTGCCGGGCTGCACACTGACTACTCTTTGCTCACAGGAGATATGATACCTGCTTCCTAAAATGGTACAGTGAAAGTAAGTCGGCACACAACGCGAAGTAGTCCACTTGGCACGCAGAGTTTGTGCAGCGCTGAGCCATGAGAACTAGAGTACCTGCGAGGAGCAGAAAAAGACAACAAGGAGTGTGCGGATCTCTTTCAGCAATACCAAAAATGCCTTGGGGTAAGTCTCTCTCCCAGAGACAGTTTGACGGCTTCAGCATGGTAAACCTTGGCGTATTGCTACAGGTTGCACTCAAGGACAGGGGCATTGACAAACTCCTCGATGACGCTCGTGAGGATAACAAGGAGAATGACGCTAGACTATTGACGCCCAAAAGTAAGATTTCGTGACTTGGAAAACGAAGACTTCCACGTCAAACGGCGGGACGACTGACCACGACACAGAGTAAACATCTAGGCTGGCCCCGTCCGCATTCACACTTCATCCATCGCTTCACTATCCCAGCTTCTGTGTCTGTCTTTCACACACATGTATATTATCTTGATATATCTCACATATGATAGACACTTAAAGAAATGCAAGCCAAATGGGCCTAACGCGCAATGTCCTATTTTGCAGGGTCATAGCGAGTAACCCAATAATTGCGCATATTCCAAACCCTCCACCCCACCCCGATGGATGTTGCTGTTGATATCAGCTTCACGAACTGTCTTTTGACGACCAATTAAGCAGGTAGTGAGAAGTATGAAGTATTTGACCTAACCAGATGCCAGGCCTATGTCCACTCTATGCGGTGAACTAACCTGTTGAGTAGCATTCTCTGTACTATCGAATCGATGCTTTCGCCCAGAAAACGCACGAGTTTTCTAGATTGATAAGCACCTAACAGAATGGGCAATAGATCCCACCAGATTGCATATGAGTACTTCAAACTTAAGAATATGACATTCAATAGACAGCCTGCCTAGCACATACGACCATAGCCGTTAGCAAAGTTCAGGGCCTCGTCCGATCCCCCACGACAACCTAACGAGCGCCGGATTAGTAGTTGGGTCGGTGACGACCAGCGAATACCCGGTGTTGTATGTTTTTTTTTTGTTTTTTTTTGGCTTTTTTTTTTGGTTTGCATATTACACATGCCTATCCAGCGACAGGCTAGTTAGTATACACATGGGTAGGCAGGACAGAAACGAAGAAACAAGTGAAAGTTCCCAAAGATACGTAGCAGTCAAACTCTCACCAGGACACATAAACAAGGGCATCCCACATTATCTGAGTCTGTATTTCATGTCTAACAAACGAAATACTGGCGTGGTATCTACCGCCATGGCGCCAACCTCAATTCTCAGAGGGAAGGCATCGCCTCCAGAAACCACGCCGCCTTAATATCCATCCGTTATCCCAATCGCAAATTATGTTTCCCTCCTGGAGGGGTGTGGGTATCGCATTCATGTCAATTTAGTTGGAGTACTTGGGGTCGACACTCTTGCTGTACACGGTGACACTTCGTCAGCGATTTCGTCCCATCAGATCGCAGCTTGATACATGTCGACTTACCCAGAGTACTTCTCGTAGGCTTGGCGGGCACCGTCGGTAATCTTCTCCTCCTGCTCGCGGCTGAGGTTCAGACCGGCCTTCTTGGCGACGAAATCGAAAGCTGTTTTTTTTTTTTCATTCAGTCAGTGGAAATCCAGGCAGAGCGGCAAGTGAGATATGACAAGCTTAGGAGAGGACCTGCCAAACACGATTTGTGCGACGGTTTCATCCATCCGCCAGAGAAGGGAAACGGCTTACCCTTGTCACCATAGTCCTGCTGGTCACCACCCTGCTGATTCTGGTTGTTGTTGTTACCACCCTGGTTCTGCTGGTTGTCACCACCCTGCTGCTGCTGCTGCTGGTCATTGTTGTTGTTGTTGTTGTTGCTGTTACCACCAGCCCCCTGAGCGGAGTTGACAGCCTGCTTGAGGAAATCCATTGTATAAAGCTGTGAAGCAGGCAAAGTTTCAAACGATGAATCTAGTATCGCTGCGCCAAATTGACAAAACTGCAGAGACGGTGCAAAGAGCAAAAAAAAGTGACCAAGGTTTGGGCGGATCTGTCTTCAGCTTATTTATCCTCGTCCAGCTCGCAACGCCTCAGGACCTCTTCCGCTTTTCATCCATTCCCCTCTTCCACTTTATTTCGGCCAGGGTACGAAGTGTGCAGTCTGGGAATGGTGGAAGGAAACGTTTTTCGCCTGTTGAGACTTTGCGATTCGAGCTAAGGGGTCCCATGGCGGTCCACGGGGTCCTGCAAACCCTTTCAGCTAGACAAGCAAAGAAGCTTCCGCTAGGTAATATCTGGCGGTGGGGGAAAGGTAGGGGGAATGATTCGGGGCAAAGAGTACGTCATGTCCCCCCCCCC